GCAATAAGTGAATGCGCTGCAATTCCTCAGCTAAATGTAGAAATAAAATATCGAACTGGCCGGTAATTGTATGCGAACAGAAAAGTGCGATAATTGAGCAATAGATAAGTGTCAGATCCTTTTACGATGGTTCACAGATGTCCTGATTTAGAACTGTGTGTCGCCACATGTCAGTAACCCCAAATTTATGTCAATATTTTATATTGTCATAGATTAGAACTCCCTCTCGATGTTGAAAAAAACATACAAATATTACCTGTCAGATATTAATTTAATTCACAGCTTTAGAAAAGTCGATTTAGCCTCCGGTTCACTGTACTTTGAAAGAATAGAAAAACAACACAGGAAGCTGCAGAACATGGGGATTAACACATGAAGGTGTGTAGGAACCAGAATCACACGTTTCCAGGAGAACCTTACAGAAAGGCTGATAAGGACCTATCCCTACCCCCTCTTACACCTTACGGAACTCCAACCGAGAGAAAATGGCATCTTTAATCAGCTCTAGGTTTTGCCAAATAAAATGTGTCGAACGCATTTTTTTTTTTTCCTAACGGGAAAAGATTATTTCTTCTAACAAATATTTAGTAGCATATGGGTCCGATCGGCTGACAGACTTCTTGCTGGCTTTAGTAAATAAAACTTTTCTATGGAAAAGAGGCTGGAGAATGGAGATCACGATTCCTCTGCTTTCGACACCCAGAAATCCATCTTTGCGCTGGGATTAAGCACCGGATACAGAGAACTTTAAGGATCGCAGCGTCGTCCGTGGCTCAGGGTTATATGCAGCGGGCAAAACCTGTCTTTATGGATTAAAATTCTTCCTCGGTAGCCTAACTTTCAAACCACTGCATAATCTATTGCATTTTAAAAGGTGATTCATGTGGCTTTATGTAACTTGTAAGTGTCCATAAATTTCCACTAATTTGAGTTTTCTGGGTTAAGTATGTTATTAAGTCAGTTCCAGTTCCTTACAGGTAGTGAAAAATCTTTCAAAGGGCTCGCAGTCATGGTCGATGATTATATTTTACCTACTTCATCCTCACATGTTTATGGCTGCTAACGTGCATTTCCCTGCTCAGTTCCCGATATCCGCCACTCAAGAAGAGGCCAGATGTTCCACGGCACAGAGGCAGATAAGGGTCTTTTCCCATCTGCCTCCTGATTTACTGCCCCGACAGCCTCGAGTTCCTCCTTCGGAATTCCCAGAGCTAGCGGAGGAGGTGCCGCTGACCCGCGCCGGCGAGCCCAAAGAGAACAGGTGGCACGGCAGAGCAGGGACGGCCCGGGCGCACGGACCAGCCTCCTCTACGCTCTGCTTCTAGTACGAGCCATATTTTTAATTCACAGAAGAAGACCATCTAGATTACCCCAAAAAATAGAGGCTGTGGGTCACGTCGAATGACCCCGAGCCGAGCCAAGCAGAGAGGAAGATGAGAGATGTACATTTCCTCCTTATTGCAGCTTGACACCGTGCCCCGGTGAGGTCAGGGAGGCAGCGCCAAGCCGGCAGCAAAGCCGATTTACGATGAGTAATGAAAGGGTCACCAGCGGTTTCTCTTTTCCATCAGATGTGACTGCAAGTCAGAACGAGCCTTGAGGAAGAAGCAGAACGACATGAAATAAAGGATTAATGTGGGTCCGCTGGATCTACTTTGATGTCAAGGTAATTAAGTCCCCTATAATTTGTTTGTTACCATTTTATTATAGTCCTAAAGGTCAACATTACTGAGAGCGTTTTATGATCTGCCGGATAATCCATTTAAAATCCCCGGTTAATAGCTAGATACGGGCCTAAGCTGGGAGAGCGAATGGCTGAAAAGCACGAGGCCTCACCGGGCTCAGAAAGTCAACTTAGCGAAAGTCAGGACAAAGTTCCTCTTTCGCCTCGAGAGGTCGCGACCCCGTGGCCCCCCCTCCCCTCAGCACTCGAGGTCACGGCAGGGTTGCCCTAACACGGTTAGGTATTCAGGGACTGATGTCCTCAAAGAGGATCTTCCCAGTCTGCTGGTAATGACGATCGGTAGAGTATAGTGAGAACTGAGACATTCAGTCCATCTGGGCTGTAAGACGTTCTCCCCATCCAAAAGGTTCCCCCTCAAGCATTGTGGAAAAGCACCTCACCCACCATGACCCAACATTTCAGGTTTTTCTCCGTCAGACTTTCATTATTGTGCAACGATGTTGATGCATGAAGTTTTTTTTTAAATTCCTCAGGTAACGATGTTGAAAAACGAGGGACAGGAAATTAATTTTAAAATTTCACACACATTAGTGACTCCCATAGCAGGAGTTATAGACAACGGATTCACCAGTGTCACACCACCGCTTGTTCAGAGAGTGTTACAAGGCGGCTGCGGTAACCGCGGTGATCCGTGATGAAAGCTCCGTCGTGCTGACATCATTCACAATGAAGGAAGAGCAAAATGAGGTCAGCCAATGAAAGGGTTCTGTAGGGCCTGAGGGGGCTTTGGTCAAGACTGCAATAATGTCGAAACAGAACTGCAATCTTAGAAGAGCAACAAAGTGTCAGAAGGGGCAAGATGGGGGTCTTTTCCCTCAGATATAATCTAAGACACTGGCAATTTAATGTGCCTCATTGAAAATAAGGTACTGGATTGAGGCATCGGTTAGGATGCTGGTTTGAAGTCTTTCCTCAGTGGTACAGCAACGGCTTGAGGGCTTTCCTGAACAGTATATGACAAGGTGACGTTTTCATGTCTTTCATCAGAGGTTTTGTTTTTTCTATGCGCCTGAAACGCGATATATATGCTGACATTTATTATATATTCAAAAACTACCTTGTGAGTGACAGGACCCGAGTTGATAAACACAATTTATATATATATATATATCTCTCTCTGACAAGGACACGGCTGATGGAGCCACAGAGAATTTAAAAGTTTAGCAAACCTACTGCAGCCCATCTGCTCCAAGGCTGATAAGAAATTATAAGAATTAAAATATCGACATCCCGCAGAACGGGAAGGTCCGTCGTCATGAGAGATGTGCCTTGAGCGATGCGAGCTTTTTATCAGAGCGAATAGATGATGGTTATTTCTCTTATTTGCTGCCTCTGCGCTTTTTTTTGACAGGAGACGTAATCTAATTTGTCACTGGGGGTTACGGTCTGCTCCAGACGTGATAAATGCAGAGATCGAACCGCTCGTCCCTCTTCGCAGCGGTGCTGGCTAATTCTCCGATCGTCACGTTAGCTGGAGACGAGCGGCGGAAAGGCGCGATACGCGGATGTCACAGCAGAGACTATGAAAGCGTTAACAGGGACGACGAACGATACACGCTTCTTCCAGACTGAGTGGGACCAGAACGAGCTTTACTTTTTCGATAAAGCGTTTGTTTTCAATATTGCAGCAGCAAAGCGGACAGCTTCTTTTACCAGTTTAAGAAGCTTTCACAAAATAGTATTATATACGTAATTTAAATATACACTGCATTGCCAAAAGTATTGGGACACCTGCCTTTACACACACATGAACTTTAATGACATCCCTCCCATTCTTAATACATAGGCTTTAATATGGAGTTGGCCCAACCTTTGCAGCTATAACAGCTTCAACTTTTCTGGGAAGGCTGTCCACGAGGTTTAGGAGTGTGTTTACGGGAATTTTTGATCATTCTTCCAGGAGAGCATTTGTGAGGTCAGGCACTGATGTTGGACGAGAAGGCCTGGCTCGCAGTCTCCGCTCTAATTCATCCCAAAGGTGTTCTGTCGGGTTGAAGTCAGGGCTCTGTGCAGGCCAGTCCACACCAGACTTGCTCATCCATGTCCTTATAGACTGGTGTGCGGTCATGTTGGAACAGGAAGGGACCATCCCCAAACTGATCCCACAAAGCTGGGAGCATGAAATTCTCCAAAATGGCTTTGAATGCTGCAGCATTAAGAGTTCCTTTCACTGGAACTAAGGAGCCAAGCCCAACCCCTGAAAAACATCCCCACACCATAATCCCCCCTCCACCAAACTTTACATTTGGCACAATGCAGTCAGGCAAATACCGTTCTCCTGGCAACCGCCAAACCCAGACTCGTCCATCGGATTGCCAGACAGAGAAGCGTGATTCGTCACTCCAGAGAACACGTCAACACTGCTCTGGAGTCCAGTGGCAGCGTGCTTTACACCACTGCATCCGACGCTTTGCTTTGCACTTGCCGATGTAAGGCTTGGATGCAGCTGCTTGGCGATGGAAACCCATTGCATGAAGTTCTCTATTCACTGTTCAGCTAATCTGAAGGCCACACGAAGCTTGGAGGTCTGTAGCTATTGACTCTGCAGACAGTTGTCGACTTGTGCACACTGTGAGCCTCAGCATGCGTTGTCCCCGCTCTGTGATTTTACGTGACCTACTGCTTCGTGGCTGAGTTGCTGTTCTCCCTAATTGCTTCCACTTTGTTATAATACCACTAACAGCTGACCGTGGAATATTTAGTAGCGAGGAAATTTCACGAATGGACTTATTGCACAGGTGGCATCCTATCACGGTACCACGCTTGAATTCACTGAGCTCCTGAGAGTGACCCATTCTTTCAGAAATGTTTGTAGAAGCCGTCTGCATGCCTAGGTGCTTGATTTAATACACCTGTGGTTGTGGAAGTGATTGGAACACCCAAATTCAATGATATGGAGGGGCGTCCCAATACTTTTGGCAATATAGTGTGTCATTTATGTCATAGAGAGTCTATCCTAGGAATCAGAGGACGCAAAGTATGAGACGCTAGAAAAAACACTGGACTACTGCGGGCTACACACAATGATTAGACATTAATTCACATGTCTGTAGCCTGGAGGGGAAACGTCTTGCAAAAACACATACCTGGTACCAATATACATACACACAACCGCTGGCTGTAATGCTAAACACTGAGCCACTGTGCTGCAAAACAATGGATAAGGTCTTCCACAATGACTGTAGTGCAAGGTTTATCACCGTGTGTGAAACATGAGCCAGATGCGGTCAGAGAAAACGCAAGCTTGCCTCAGGAATACTTGTAAACAAGACAAAAGGGCCTTCCTTTATTTCTAAATTTGATATGTACAGGAAAGGCAGCGATGTAAAGTTTAAAATAGATAATGTAAAAGTCCGATAAACCGATTGCACTGTGCTTGCATCAATCATGTATTTAACACCATAGTAAATATTATAAAAGCGATGACAAACGAGGATAAAAATACACCAATAACTCGCACGAAATTCAGTATCTTCTTCTCTGAAAAAGGCGTGGAACAGGGGGCGATGGAAAGAGGATATCCCAGCCGAGTCCAAGGATGCGGTGGGGAGGGTGTGAGAATCGGACCCCCAGCAGGGCAGCGATGGACTGACGTGGCCAGGATTCCTCCGGCTGGGGGTCTCAGGCACTTAGTGAGGTGACGGTCCAGTGACGGTCCAGTGTGCGGCAAATGACAGCAGGTTGGGGGGGGCGATTCCAAACACGCTGTTGCCCAGAGGGAGTGAGGCAACCCGACCCAGACTGGTATTTATGACGCCGAGTCCCCGCAAAGTCTTGGCAAAGTCTTACTTCTTCCTGCTCTACCGACAAGGTCAGCCAGCACCTCGCCGCAGACACCAGAGGACCAGAGTAGGATCAACGGCTCCATTTAGCCCGACGAACCGGATCTGTCAACTGCCCCGTTTCACCGGTGACAGTCGCGACCGCAACCCGATCGCCGGCGCTTCACAGACGCTATGCAAGGTCACATGGCAAGGCAGCCTCCTGCTCGGGCTGCATACAGCACGGTCAGACCCCGGGGCGTGAGCCAGAGGAGGGGAGGAGAACGTGTGTGTGTGTGTGTGTGTGTGTGTGTGAAGGCCATGGTTTGAACGGGACAGCAACATAACGCCCCGCTCTGACGCCCACTGCCACCACTAAGACGTTCGCAGAGGGTCGCCGGGAACAAGATGGCTACTAACCAACCTCATACTGAATAAAACTATGAAAAAAATAAATAAAACAGTGTCAGACGCTGGGGGACTGGAAGACTGCGGGGACAGACGTGGGTTAGGAAGGGGGTGGTCCCTCACAGGGCTGGAGATACAGAGGAGATCCTGGTACCACACACGTGACCATGCTGGCCAATCGGGGGTCGGTTAGCCCGGGACTGAATAATGTACTGGGGGGAATAATGTGTAACGTCTGGCAACCCACGACCGGGTGGCTTCGACACATACGGATGACATCCTGTTCTGTTATGTTCAGATGTGTTCAGTGACCATCTGCCGCCCCAGTCAGCGCTCCTGCCCCCGTGACCCCCTCCCTCAGGAATAGAAGGGGTGGCCTCTCTCTGGCCCCTGCAGCCTGTTGAGCCTGGCGAGCTGGGATGGGGAGGGGGGCACGTCGTGTCTGTAGGGCCCTTTGGGAGGAGAGGCCGGGTCCTCCTGGGGGGTGTAGGATTCGTAGCTCTGCTGGGGGAGAGTCTTGGTCTTGGCCTCCTGCTCGCGGCGCCGCTGCTCCTGCCTCAGCAGCTCCTGCGCCTCCAGCAGCACGCGTGCGTTGAAGCCCCCCCCACCCATCAGTGTGGCCCCGCCGGCCCCCGGGAGGCCGTTCCGGGGGCCCTGGTAGCTGGCGTAGCGCGGGTCCGACTTGGCAGTGTGGAAGCCCTCGCCTGGAGGGTATACCTTATCCCAAGAGTCCTGGGACACCGTGCTGGGGTTCTTGCGGGGTTGCCTGGGGAGGGAGGGGAGAGAATGCATATTAAAATAAATAAGAAGCGCTGAGAGGACTGTGAGCATGTGGCATGTCCGGCCAGTGACAGAGGTGGGGGGAGTTCGGTGCGCTGAGTGAACGGGGCCCAAAATGTTTCAGAAGGCATGGCCAATCGTATAAAGGGCCACAGGAAAACAAACGGTGAGCAGAGTCAAGTGAAGCTTTAAGGATATATGTGATGTGATGTGATGTGATATACTGTAACAGACTACAATGTACTGTGATTGATGTACAACAAACTACAATGCACTAAGATTGATATATTGTAACAAACTACATTGCATTTGATCGATATACTGTAACAAACTACAATGCATTGTGATGTAATGTTACATTATACTAAATTACAGTAAATTACATCACACTGCACCATGATGTAATAATGTGCTGTATAATGTACTGTAATAAATCACTGGAGCACAATGTACACATCATATAATGTGACACGCTATAAGTTTCTATTGTGAATAGTGATGTAACGTACTGCTATATAATTTTATGGAATGTACAGGTCCAGTCAAAAGTTTGGATTCACTTACCAATTGGTATATCTGTACTATTCTCTACGTTGTAGAATAATTATAGACACCAAAACTATAAAATAACACATATGAAATTAAGCAATGAACAAATAAAAGGGTCGGCAGGGTGATCCCACCACTGGGCCCCTGACCAAGGCCCTTAACCCCAGCTGCCCCAGGGACTGGCTGACCCTACTGTCTCCTCCATGCCTGGTCCATGAGGAGCCTCCTGGGATGCTCTTCCAGCCGTCCTGAAGGAGCTCCCACATAAATGCTGAGCAAACACTGGCCGCATTTCCTTCACTCTCTGGTCAGACTGCTCCAAATCCATTTGTACTGTGCTTGGGTCAGGTGGCCAGGTCATGTGAAATGACACCAAACATTTGGCCGGTACTGTATATGATGAAATAAAACCAGTTCTCCCAGTAAGATTCCATGTGACTTTGCAGCAGGAGGTGGAAACAGCCGACCCAGAAAGGTCAAAGTACGGTTTGGTTTAGTCTTGTTCAGCCTGGGTAGGCCTGTCGCTTTGACCTGTAGGCTACACAGCTACGGCAGCTGTAACACGCTAACAGAGACTCACACACACATACACACACCTCCGGGACCTCTCTTCATCTCATACAATGAGCCACGTGCCTCGACTGAACCAGTGGCCTCCAGCATGGGGGGGGGGTCTTTATTTCCATAACCCAGCAGATAGACTGTGCATGACAGGCTAGAGTCACAACAGCTGCGGGAAATCAGACGCATCAAATGTGTACGGAAATCAAAGATGCAGCAGTTGTCCAACAAAACTGTTGAATGACAATAAGATTAAAAATAAAATCCTCGACGCAATTATTCTGGCTTAAACACCCACATACTTCATCTCATACACACTTCTACGCTACACCAGCTGCTGTACGTGTGGTAAAATGAAAAGGGCCATTAAGTAGCAGTGGACTTTATATACCTGCAGGACCAGCTGTTTTTCATGATGTAATATGAAGCATGTACGTGGAGGGGGAAACGTACAGCTGTAGGGGGTGGGGGGGTGCGAGAGCTGTGGAGAGAACCAGCCGGAAGCCGACATCACTGCCACTGCTCCCCTGTCACAAGCGTCTTGGGCCGGCACCCACACGTGCCTTGGAAGCTGAAGCTTAAAGATCTCAGCGGGGCTTGCATGAATTCTCGCATTGTTATACCTTCATGTGCCCCAGAGATGACGGCGAGAACCATAAACCACGCAGCTCGCAGGCGTGAGATGTGCTGCCGTCGCATTATTACATTATCAGCTACGTGCGCTCTAATCCCAAGCACTTCCTGTTTTGCTCAGGGGGAGAAACAGTCTATTAACATGAACCGCATGAATCGACAGTCGAGGAATTTCGGAGGAAGGTTTCCGTTTCGAAGTTCACCCACTGAGTAACTCGCCGGAGGGTTTCTGGGCAGAACTTGGGTCTGGTCTACAGGCAGCGTTTCCTCCCTCGACCTGGGAGCAGCTCGGGGCTTATTGAAGAGAGCTGAAGGGGCCAAGAAGCTTACCTCAGCGGCCAATCATAAACCGTCCGCTCTTACCCTCACAGTAACTGACCAATCAGGTTAACGGCAGTCGCCTCTTCCCCGCCCACTGCTTGGGAGAGACTATAACTGCCGCTGGGTCTAAGATACGCTGTGTTATTTATTCATGAGACATTTTCCCTCTCATTTGTTCATTTACACAGCAGCGGGATATTTTACTAAACTATTTACATGAAGCACTTTGCGGAAAGGTCAACAGTATTTCCCCTACCAGTGGTGCCACCCTAATCTCTCCGGGATCGCCCGCTTGCTGGCATCAGAGTGACCCGGGCATGCTGGTCCTTGGCCGACTCCACGAGGACGTTGACACTCTTGTACACTGGCAGCTCGTTACACGCCCAATTTACACCTGTACGTTCCCATTTCAACCCCCCACACCAGGAGGAATAATCACTCTGAATGTTTGTCCCCGTCTCGGTGCACATCTCAAGAAATTACTCTTGAACTTCCTTAATTTACAAGTCTATACTCAATAATGTTAAATACTGTGCTAGTTAAAATCTAAGGACGTCACTGATCACTCCAGGCCAAGCAAACTGGAAAGGCACCACACAGAGTCCCACACATTATCACTAAAGGAACTTTCCAGAAATCCAGCAATGCCATCCACAGTGTATGTAAGACTGTTTGCTCTTATTCCGGAATACTGTCTCATCTGGGTTAGCGAGATTGGAACTGGCATCCATGTCTTTCTTAGACCAAGTCAGCCCTCTGCGAAATAAGCTAGACTTACGACGAAATGGGGAGCAAGAGAGCTTTGAACATTAATAATCAATTAGTCATACAGATTAAGTTAATCTTTGAGGCCTGAGGAACCCAAGGGCTCTGCCTTGGGGTTCATCCCCCCCCGCCCCACTGAAAAGTCCCACAGATCCATTCATTTTCCATACTCCTCATCCAGAAGAGGGTGATGGTCTGCAGCCTATTCCAGGAAGCACCCGTCACAGTGCTGCTCTTTGAGCCACTGCGCCACACTCAAATCCCCAAAAAACCCGTATAAATGTGAATAATTGATTTTCAGAGAGATCTGGCCTAGCAGAGTATGAGTGTTTGCAGTGTGTAATTGAACTCCCCGTGGTGAAGATGGGCTTTATTTTTTATGTGCTCCACTGATTAAGTCTGTGAGACATGAGGGTGTGAGAGAGACAGACAGAAGCACAAAGTCAGAGGAGGACAGACAGACAGGTTATGGACAGACAGACAGATGGACATAGCCAGAGGAGGACAGACAGACAGACAGACAGATGGACATAGCCAGAGGAGGACAGACAGACAGACAGACAGATGGATGGACATAGCCAGAGGAGGACAGACAGACAGACAGATGGACATAGCCAGAGGAGGACAGACAGACAGACAGATAGACATAGCCAGGGGAGGACAGACAGACAGATGGATGGACATAGCCAGAGGAGGACAGACAGACAGACAGACAGATGGACATAGCCAGAGGAGGACAGACAGACAGACAGATGGACATAGCCAGAGGAGGACAGACAGACAGATGGACATAGCCAGAGGAGGACAGACAGACAGATGGACATAGCCAGAGGAGGACAGACAGACAGGCAGGCAGACAGATAGACAGGCAGGCAGACAGACAGGCAGGCAGGCAGACATACAGATGGACATAGCCAGAGGAGGACAGACAGACAGATAGATGGACATAGCCAGAGGAGGACAGACAGACAGATGGACATAGCCAGAGGAGGACAGACAGACAGACAGACAGATGGACATAGCCAGAGGAGGACAGACAGGCAGACAGACAGACACAGACTCACCGTGGCAGAGAGCTGTACTTCCTCTGAGTCTGTGCGAACGCCTCCCTCTCGTCCTGCCTCTGTCTCTGCAGCTGAAGCTCCACGGAGACCGAGTGGCGTCCCGTCGGGGCATACGATCCCGTACCGCCCTGGAAGACAGCAGCGCATGCGGCACGGCCCTGTTAATCTGTGCCCAGAGAGGTGCCCAGGGGCGCCAGCCAGGAGGCCGTCCTCCCTCACGGGCGCTTAAATCACACTGAACTACCCGCTGCCCAAGCACACATACTGGAGGTGATGGAGTGGAAAATCTAATAGATGTTAGCATGGCTTGGTACAGCATGAGTGGCTGTCGGTGCCGCCCAGCCCGACCTGGGGGGGCTTTAAGGGGCAGTTGTGTGTGAGCTCGCCCTCTGCTAAAACCCCATGCCAGCACATCAAGATCGGGAAACCGGGGGGGCTTAAATGCATCTGACAAAAAAAGACAAGAAATCTTAAATATTGCTTGAATTTAATTACCAAAACAGACCGATAAATCTAAACTTTCACTTTCCCACTGAAATAGGGCAGCAGTCAGACAGTGTTGGGGGGGGGATGGGGGCACTCACAGGGGAATCAAGTTACTTCCCCCTGATCAGCCATAAAACAAAGCTGGAGAAAACATGGCATTAAACACGCAGAAAATACTGCTTCATTACTTGTCACCTTTAACCCTGACATGGGGGGAAAAAAAGAAGGAGCAAAATAGTATAAAATCAGGAATTTGCAACTGAGAGAAAAAAAAAACAAACCAGAACAAGGACAGAATAATTACAGAAAATGAAGAGGGGAGTTTAGAGCCCCAGGAATACCCAGTGTGCTCCACGGGTAACGGGCCGAACGCGGGGTCAGAACCCGGGTCAGAACCCAGGTCAGCACGGGAGGAAGGGCAGGTCAGTCTTTGTTATCTGCCGATAACGCGGCTTGGGTCCGGTACAGATAAGAGAGGCTTCCGGCCAGGACTCCTGGTTTAACGAATAGCAGATACCATGTGGAACATGGCAAAAACACGGGCGATTCTGCAACTGATCCACGTCCAGCTCTGGGCCAAAAAGTAACGGGGAAATTAACCCTTTATACATGTTTTATGCAAAAACAGATCAAAATACAACCAGCATAAAGCACCATTTAAGGTTAGCTGAGTGAAGTATAACCTAAAATGCAAATTAGTTTAATTACATTATAGTATACTATTACATTATTATTATTTAATATAATAATTGTTATACTACCTAATTAGTACTGCCTAATGTAACTTCGATTAATTATACTATAATTATATAAAATTATATCAATTTAATTATATAGCCTGGTTAACAGCTGACTGTTAAAAAAAAAAAAAATTGTTTATCAGAACACTGGCTTCACAAGCTTATGCATCAAAAGGAGAAAATGTGATCTGAGAACAAGCTTCTATTACATGTAGAGTAGCCTGACGTTAATAACTGGGGAAAATAGCACATCTACTGCCCATTAAGAACCTTCTGGATTCGACGTGGGTTTCTGAGATTCATACGGCTTCTCTTCGTCCGCAGACCCAGAAGCGGGAATCACGTCTTTCTTGACAGGACTTGGCAGAGGGTTCTGACAGATGTGGGATATGTTTAGCTAAATACTCAGGAGACGTGGAACAGACAGACCACACTTTTCCCTCAATACCTTATCTGTTCTAATGGGCCACCCCTGTCCTCAGGCAAAGTGATGCCCAGTGCAGCTGTGGGGATGTGTACGTCCTGGCAGGCTACAGCGTAACTGGAAAGCCAGTTACCAGACACAGACAGCCAGGGGGGGGGGAGTTGCTGGCTCTTAGCTAAACGAGGCCCCCAGGGCTCGTCACCCGGAACTCCGGCCAACATGGCACTGCAAAACACGGACAGACAAACGGTGACCGGTCTCTCCAGACGGCGCGATAACGTGGCCACCGTCCGCGCCCTCAAAATTCAAGAGGCGGCAGGCGCTGAAGCGTTTTTTAAAAAAAACTACAAAAAAAAAAAACATTTGTGGGTTAGTCCTGAGGAGATTCCTCACTGTGTCACTCTAACAATCGACGGCTGGCTCCAAACCTGGCTCGGAAGCAGGCCAGCAAGAGAACAAACAGTTTGGAGACGACAGAGGTCTCCGCCAAGAGCATAAAGGAGACATTCCATGTCTGACGGTTGTTTTTTGCCTTGTGGGGAAACTGCTGGCGTTATTAATTCCTTATTTTGTTGTCCTGTCTCGCAGGGGATCGAGAACGAGGCCTGATGTGGATCAGACTGGATTAAACAGGAGATGAATCAGATCTGAATCAGACTTTTAACGTGAAAACAACATTGAACTTTGCCCGTTTGCTGTTTGCTCAGCAGCTCGTACCAGAGGACAGAATTGTCAATTTTTTTTTTAATGACTGTAATATTATGAGACAGTAGACATGGCATATAGAGATTTAAGTATAGTTAAGACTGTCAACCAGAAAGCTTTTGGAGAAACTGACCCAGGGCTGCTCGAGGCTGTAGGTGCGTCTGCGCTCGTCGTCGTCGTCGTCCTGCTTGGCCTGCTGGAACTCGTGCCGCAGCCTCCGTATCCGATCATGGTTGCTAGGAGCCAGCCGGTTGCTACGGGGGAAAGGGAAGATGGGGGACACAAAAATGAGGAGTTTTCTTTAACCCCCCCCCCAGATATCGTGCACCGACGTTCCTCACGGAGAGGCTGGTGCCTGCTGTTAGGGACTGAAAGATGGAAACGTAAGCCATTTCATGAGGGACTCTGGGAAAAAACACCTAGGATGAATACTTTAATGTGATTGGTTGGGGTCAGAGGCCGAAGGGGGATGACCCCAAACCTTAATTTTGCTCATGTGTCATCGTAAAGATTCCAATCCATTGTAGACCACAAAAAATACAAAGACACGACGTGGTGAGCAGTTATCACTACAGTATCAGTGGTGCTCTTGCTTTCGTTGAGTTAGAACATCTCCCCCACCATGCCTGAGAGCATGAGAGCACCTCCAGCTTCTCCACCCCTTAAGTGAGCCTCATTCCCAGGTTATACTGGGCCTTGCTTCACGGCCCAGCCTCTGGCTGACATTCTATTCTGGGAACCTGTCAGCATGTATCTCACTAATGACTTTGAGGGAGCCGTCGATAGCAATCGATACGTTTTCCTCCGTTAATCCCACCCCCACCCCCCCCAATCCCAGTGGAGCAGCCCAGCTTCCTGGCAAACATGCTATGATGTCATCACCTCTGTTATAGGAGGACTTAAACTTGCCACACAAGCCACAGACGTCGAAGAGACCACTAGGCAAGAATACACAAATCTCATTTTATCCCTAGTACATAACCAGTATAAATATAGGTGTAGTATTAATATGGACAATCATGTAACCATGATCTTGTGATAAGTGGGATGGATGGATGGATGGATGGACGGACAGATAGACAGACGAATGGATTTTCTGTTTTAATGTTCAGTGTTCCAGCTTCGTTTTCAGGTCTTCCCGGAAAAAGGTGTCCCTAAAATCACAACGATATGCACTATTCCTTTCTTTGCCTATATGTTTCAAAGGGTGCTTGCCTTGATTCAAAGGAATAACAAAGACTCCCGTTACAGGATCTGATCAGATTCATTAGGATAGTTCCTTAACCATCAAATAACCTCAGACCTGACCTGAGAGTGATGCAGACTGCATAAGATTCAGCGGCAGTAACCAGAGTGAAGAAAGGCCAGTTGACTTTCTCAGCAGTACAGTAACCACACCACATCTTCAGTGGGACACATCAGGGCACAGTCTCCCGACCCTCAATCACTTTAGCCATGCCTTGTCATTCACTCGCCACAGTGGCTGCAGGATATCGGTACAAAGGGTGTCAGATTTCCTGCGGTGAAACTGCAACAGAAGTGACCGTTTAACAAGGCTGCGCTGGATGGGATCTCTGTCTCCTAGGGCGGGGCTATCACATTACAGACGTCCATTAGGGGCAGTCACCATACTGCCACGGGCTTCCTAATCAGCCAAGAAAGTCAAACTCTACCTAATTACCCACTAATCTCTTACTGAAAACTACAGCCTTCGATTTGAAAAGTTATAACGTATTTAATAACTGAGCGATAACCTTCCTGGTAAGCATGTGCACAGCTACCACCTCTTCAGAGTACCATCTGAATGATGAAATATTAACAAAAACTCACTTTTTGGCATTTTTCTTTTCCCTCCTGCAGGAAGTGCCCACTCGCTGCCACGCACGTCCCTCTGTTCGCAGCTGCAGTGTCGCTTCTCTAACGCTTTGACGTTTCGCGAATCCCTTCGCCACTTTCTTTTTTTTTTAACGTGATCCCACAATGGAGGCGCCCGCTCTTTTACTCGCGCCCGCATCTTTTACTCCTGCTATACAACAGCAGCAGCTCCTGACAGCTCGAGAGTTAAAAAAAAATAATAAAAAAATGAATATTTTGAAATTACGTGCTGCTAATACGATCATTTTCTGCGGTGTTTTCCAGTCTTCCCCTCCACTCGCTCGAAATCTTGGGCTTGTTTATGGCTCTGTGACTCAGGAGTCTGTGTCCAGTAGGTCACTGGTTCGAATCCCGTAGCCAGCAGAGTAATCATATCGCCGTTAGGGCCTTCAGCAAGACCCTTAAGCCGAAGAACTGCTACTCTCAAAGAGCAAAATGGCACAGGTGAAAACTATAGAGTTCCTATGTGCTGTACAAATGGCAAATCATCATTATTACCACTAAATTGGGGTCTCCAGCCTGCGGAGGCTGTATGTGTCCTACGGCAGCGAATGGAACAGACCATGTTATCTGCCGGTGACCGGGACGTCTAGAGAACCCTACTATTAGCACAGGCATTATCTTACAGACAATGGGGTGGCGATGTGACAAAACATAATTATGAATAATTGGTAACTATAGTCCTTGTCTGTGCTCTTGGAAAGGTCAGGTGCCATGCTGCTGTGCGCGTGTGTGTGTGTGTGTGTGTGCGTGTGCGTGTGTGTATGCCTGCATATGGGCATGTGCGTGTGCATGTGTGGCTGCGTGCGCCTATGTGTGTGCATACGTGTGCCTGCACGTGTGTGTCTGTGTGCGATTGTGGCTTCTCTCAGGGCTCCGATTTCACACGCTTCCTCACAACTTCAAAGCGCCCGCCCGCCTCCCTTTGTAGAGATACAGTGGCGTGGGGGGGCGGGGGGGGGGGGGGACGGTACCAAAAAGCGGTTATGCGGAGAGGGGCGATAAGAAATCTCGCCGCATTTCATCAACAAGCCCTCAGCAGGGATGTGGAACGGATCTCAGCACGGCCGAGTCTGAGCCGGCAGGGCAGCTGTGGTCGAGACCCGTCCATCAGGAAGACGTCCATTCAGTCTCGGTCCCTCTCTCTCCAAAAGGCGCTTTACTTTATGATATTCTCATTTTATGCATTTTTCCAAGGTGATGGACAATTCAGAAAGCAGGGTCAGACATTTCTTAGGCCAATTGGGATCACTCTTCATATCCTGGGATTTGAAGTGGCGGCCCTATAATCACAGGCATGAAGACCGAACCTGCTGAGCCACACACAGACCACAAGATACTAATGCCAGAGCCTTAATAAACAGGCACGAAGACCGAACCTGATGAGCCACACACAGACCACAAGATACTAATGCCAGTGTCTTAATAAACAGGCACGAAGACCGAACCTGCTGAGTCACACACAGACCACAAGATACTAATGCCAGAGCCTTAATAAACAGGCAGGAAGACCGAACCTGCGGAGCCACACACAGACCACAAGATACTAATGCCAGAGCCTTAATAAACAGGCAGGAAGACCGAACCTGCGGAGCCACACACAGACCACAAGATACTAATGCCAGAGCCTTAATAAACAAAGACCCCGACACGCAGGATTGCGTCGTTTTGAAGTCAGTCTGGAAGGTCCTGTCCCTCCCAGGTTGCTCACATACCACATTCTGACACGGTGCTTAGTCTGGCTCTACAGCGGGGCTTTAAAAATCAATGCGGGTGCCCCTCCTTTTTAACGGGGGGCATAAAGCAGCCGTGAAACAGGATGTGACCTCGGAGACGATTCGGTGCCGGAAACACGGGAATGAGACTTTTGAGACGGTCAGGTCACTTGTACTTTTTGATGTGATGCCCTCACTTTTCTTTCGTCGTACGGACATAAAAAAAAAAAAAAAAAACAACAAAACACAACATGGAGAACATCAAAGCGGAATTTAAGATATTTGAGACGGCACCGTGATTCGTTCCATCCTCCAGGCTGCAACGGTACTTTTACATAAAGTCGTATTTATTCATATTGCCAGATATGGCGGAGATAATGCAGCAGATCACGGCTGCTTTGAAGTCTATCTGTCTACCTGTGCCACCCACCCGGACCCAGCGGAGGCACTGCGGCAGCCGTCAGCGGTGAGGAGGCAGCCGCCGTCACGCGTGCCTCCCCGGCCCGGGAGTGCGGCTTGCAGCACGATTACATCACTCCCTCTTGGAGGCGCTGGGCGTGGCAGGGCGGGGGCTGACGGACAGCCACAGCTGACGGTGGGGGCCGGGACAGCCGGCCTACCCCGGGATACCCCGCAGGACGGCCGCAGAACCACCGGCCCAGTTTGGGGACTGAGCCTACGCCCTCCAGGGAGGCCCAGCGTACCCCATCTTCCCACAAGCGCTGCCAAAGAGGAGGGGTTTGTTCCCCGACCCGAAGACTGAACAGCCAAGTTCGCGGGCAAGAATAAGGTTCACTTTAGCCCCAACCTGAGGCACACACGTGCGCACGCACTCACAAGAAAGCAGCACCATTGTCAAGGCAACAGCAAAAAGTAAAAAAGAATAATTAAAAAAAAAAAAAAAAACCCCAAAGCAGCCCTTTGCTCTCTCTCGCTGTCTCTCTCTTTGCCTGCCGCTGAGCCAGGGAGCTGTCAGCTTTCAGGCACAAATTACAGGACAAGCGAGAATAAATGAGGAGACGCGGTTCGCAAACAGCAAGCCGGGCCGCTTGGTCTCACTGACAGCGCGTTCTTTGATTCCGCTCCCTGCTCCCCTTCCCCGGGTCTGAAGTGACATGTTCTTAAGTCGTCGGCTACAATGGGAACGAGATTCAGTCCATTAAGATGTTAGCGCCTGGAACGAATTGGTTCTGATCTTTTTCTCTCGTTTTTTTTTTTTTTCTCTTTCTTATTTTATTTTCACGGAGCCTCCATCAGATACGGGCCGGCAATTTAGAGCCGGGAAGCATGTTGGTTTGTGAATGGGCTCAGCACCGCAGAAAAGACTAGGCTGGGCACAACAAAGGCAACGCAATTAAAGCCCACCGCGTCGCTAGATGTGCTGTGGGGGATGGGGGAGTGCCCATGCGGCGGAGGGAAGGAGCCCTGCACAACCGTCACACTTGCTCTGCTCAGATGGGACTGCAGGGGGCAGAGTGGCTAAGGAGCTATAATGTACGGCTGGTGCCGAGGCTTGCTCAACATCTTTACACCCGTGCTTCTTTTAAAATGAAACCGTTCGTGACAAGTCACTTCGGAGAACAGTCTAGAAAGGAGTTACACGGTACTGTCAGGGATCCAAGACAGCCCAGCCTCAGAACCTGCACGAGGCCTAATGTTTGACA